TGTTCAGTTTGGTCTATAATTTAACCATGAATCGACTTACGAACGAACAACGCTTGCAAATTATTGAATTTTACTATCAAAATTCATGCTCGGTTAAGAGAGTGCATCGAGCACTGCTTCCAATTTATGGGCAATTTGTCGGCCTACTGAGGGAGCTATTCGGAAGCTTGTGACTAAATTTCGAACCCAGTTTACATTATTGGACATTAAACCACCAACACGCAGACGTAGAGTGAGGACTGAAGAAAATATTGCGGCTGTATCCGCCAGTGTTAGTGATGACCGTGAAATGTCGATTCGCCGCCGTTTGCAGCAATTGTGGAAAATTTTGCGACAGAATTTGGGTGTAAAACCTTATAAGATACAGCTGGTGCAAGAATTGAAGCCTCACGACCTCCCACAACCTTGGAGGAAGATCCACATTTTTATCGAAAAATTGTGTTCAGCGACGAAGCTCATTTCTGGTTGAATGGTTACGTTAACAAGCAAAATTGCCGCATCTGGAGTGAATACCAGCCAGAAGCATTGCAAGAGCTACCAATGCATCCCGAAAAAATCACTGTTTGGTGTGGATTATGGGCCGGTGGCATCATCGGGCCGTACTTCTTCAAAGACGACAATGGCCGGAACGTAACTGTGAATGGCGAGCGCTACCGTGCGATGATAACAAACTTTTTTTTGACCAAAATGGAAGAGCTGGACTTGGCCGACATGTGGTTTCAACAAGACGGTGCCACATGCCACACCGCACACGAAACAATGGCCCTATTGAGAGGCGAGTTCGGTGAACAGTTTATCTCACGTTTGGGGCCCGTCAATTGGCCGCCTAGATCGTCTGATTTAACGCCGTTGGACTATTTCTTGTGGGGCCATGTTAAGGCTAATGTCTACAGGGATAAACCAGCAACGATTTGCGCACTGGAAGCCAATATTGAAGCATTTATTCGTGAGATACCGGCCGATATGTTGGAGAGAGTGCCAAAATTGGACCTTGGGCATGGGCCATCTAAAGCGGAGCCGCGGCCAACATTTACATGAAATAATCTTTAAACATTAAATTATATCGACCGTTCTATCGACTAAAATAAAGATTTAATCGTTTTTTGTTGTGTTTTTTTTTTGAGAATCAAATCCTATACCTCTTAAAAAATCACCCGTTACCAGATTCATTCATGTTTGTATCCAATAACAGATATCTTTTTGAAAACTTATCAAGCAGCCATAAATATGAAACGTGGCATAAAGCCGATCTGCTGCCTGACAAATGTAATTATAGTTATGTACAAAAGAATGTACGGTATAAATAAAAGTTCGTTTCCAGTAAAGTAGCTTTTTTTATTATTATAAGACTTCGGTCGACAGACTACAATTGTTGTAGTACAGAATGATAACTTAGAACGGTCAGAGAATGAATGAATCCTGAATGCTGGCACAGTGATGTTTTTATACTAAATCTCTAACACAGAAATATTCCAGAAAGCTCTAGAAGTAACACCTGTAAATCTTAGAAATTGATAAGAGTTGGAGAGCTGTGCAAACAGTCGTTATTCGAAGAATTGATCGATAAAACAGTCATTCTAGCGTACTGCTGAATTAATGAGATGGTCTCTTAAGGAAACTAGTTATTAGGATACCATAATTTATATGATTGTTAAGATATATAACGCGTTCCCTAAAACTTTTCTGAACCTCCAAGTAGCCCGTGTGAAAAATGTAATAATAGTACTTATCAGCAAAGGTATTTTATGCGCTTGCTGAATTTTTTACTGATAATAGAAACAGCCTGAGTGTTCAGGATTAACGAAAAGTAGTAATGTAGTTTATTGGTTTTTTTTGTCTTAGCTGGTTATCTCCTTTGACTTGTATGAATGGGTTTAAGACGATGGCATTGAAAAGAATTTGTAAATGATGTTAACACCTTCATTTTTAACAATGTTCTATAGCTAGCTCTGAGCTTATTTTATTGTATCTTGTCTGTTACTTTTGGAACAAATAAAAACTATCTATCTATCTATACGAGTATCACTACAGTATATTCAGATAAGAGATAGACCGGATGTAAACAAAAGGTCCGGGTGATTTTCACGCTAACGCCGCCGTCTCGACGTAAAACAGGAGCCCTCATTGGTCAATTCGCAATTAAATGCCTATGCCGAGCGGCAGAGCAGTCGTATCAAGGCAGAGTCACATTCAGGTTCAGACGTGTTACGTATGTCGTGTGCATCATTGCAATTTGATATTTCTTTGGACATTTTCGTTTGTTATCTTATTAAGTTGTTGAGTTTGTCGTTGTTATTGTTATACCTTGTTATTGATTGTTATTGTTATCAACTGCTTGCGCAAAATGCCCAGTAGTACAGATACTGCCGATGAAGTTGTAAACTCCTGTAGTCCACCTAGGAAACGCTCTAAAAAAAGACACCTGAGTGCAGAAATGAAAGAGGTCATTTTGAATATATATAAGATCGAGCGCGAGGAGAACGAGGCATCAACCATCAAAGAAATTGTTGTGAAGGTTTCTCACAAAGTTGGGGTGTGTCGCGCATCAGTGTTTAATGTGTTAAGACAATACAAAAAAAATCACACCTTTTCTGAGCCAATGACCAGTAAACATCGCAAAAGTATTGTTAAATCATTGGATGAAGCTGATAAGCATGCGATTAGGAGGAAAGTGCATGAATTCTTCTTTAGGAATGAAATACCTACTATAGATAAAGTACTGCAGGAGGTAAATGGAGATACAACGTTGCCAAATTTCAAACGATCAACTTTCCATGCGTTACTGAAGCATTTAAATTTCAAATGGAAAAAACGGGGTCGTAATAGTTTACTACTGGATAGAGAAGAAATTGTGCTATGGAGGAGGGATTATTTAACAAAAATTGGGAAATATAGAAATCAAAACAGGAAAATTTATTACCTTGATGAAACGTGGGTAAACGCAGGACACACTACAAGTAAAGTATGGATTGATGATTCTGTAACTTCATCCAGGAGGGCCTTACTAGATGGACTGTCCACCGGATTAAAAAATCCAGCAGGTAAATACGAGTAATAGACAACAATCGGATGTTTTTCAAACCTTGGGAACAAGGTTCTAAACATTAATTCCAGGGGGCAGATAAAACATATTACAAGTAACAAAACTTTTATAACTTTCGATAAAATGCGTGGATGTTTTATTGTCATTTTCATTTGTTAGAACTTTTTTAAGCCATGTTTTTATGTGTTTTCGATATTTCAATATTTTTTTAATATAATCTTAAAATATGTCGAATATTATAAACTTAAAAAAAGTTACTAAGTTTTATATTGTGTACCGTTCCTAATATTTCTAATCATTTTGATTCATACTTTAAGCTTTATAAAGTTATAATTTGTTAATATTAATATTTGCGCGTATTTCAGGTTCCTGATCATTCATTTTTTAAAGGTTTATAACTTTAAATTAAATTGTGAAGCGCTGAGTAATCATACGACGTTCAATATTCTTTCTTTCAATATGACTAAATAATCCCAATTATAGCAATCTGATACTCATGTCTCAATGTTTTTTCGCTGAATGTGATGAAAACATTTGAAAAAGGTTCGCTTATTGAAATAAATCTACACCAGTTAGTACTTCGATTTCCAGGTAAAGGGAAAAGGCTCATTATCTGCCATATTGGCAGTGAGGATGGATTTGTTGTTGACGGTCTGTGGTGCTTTGAGTCTAAGAAAACTGGAGATTACCACGAGGAAATGAATGGCGAATCGTTTGAACAGTGGTTTTCAAAAATTTTACCGAACTTAGAGGAAAACGCAGTAATTGTGTTGGATAATGCGCCTTATCATTCTCGAAGAATGGAGAAGGTCCCAACAACGGCTTCAAGGAAAGTTGATGTTCAAAATTGGCTCCGCTCGAAAAATATCAACTTTGAAGAAGCAATGCTGAAAGTACAATTATTAAGAATTGTCAAGGATCACAAGGCGGAATATCAAAAATTCGCCATTGACGAAATGGCAGCAAGTCAAAATAAAACTGTGCTCCGTTTACCTCCATACCATTGCGAGCTCAATCCCATTGAGCTCATATAGGCAGAGGTTAAAAATTATATAGCTAAGCACAATACAACTTTTAAATTTTGTGACCTCAAAGGACTTTTCAAAGAAGCACTAGAATTAATAACAGCGCAAAAATGGGAAAACTGTATTAAGCACGTGAAAGACAAAGTTGAAAAGAGAATGTGGGAACTGGACAATATTTTAGAGGAACAAGTCGAGCCATTCATTATTGACGTTGGTGCTTCAGGCAGTAGCGATGATGAAAGCTCATAAAGCTCATCTTTCCAATAAAAGATGTCGTTCATCAAATTCTGTAAGTTATAAGTAATTATAAAGCTACTGTATTTTTTAATTAATTATTGACATTTTTGAACCCATTTTGGCAAAGCCTATTTAAGAATCTACTTTCTGACAATGTTCAACCATGCACATTTTTTTACGTTTTGAACGTTTTAATTTGGTTACATATTTACCTAGAAATTAAAAATATACTAATCAATATTCTAAAAGCAATTTTAAGAGATATACGATTATTTTTAATTTAGGCTAATTTAAACGCCATTTTGAGATTATATTCGACTGTATTTCACCAAACATCAGGCGGCATCCGAAGCTGGAAATCGAAGCGAAAATTTTGAAACCCTTATGTATATTTACATCATTATATATTTCTTACCCCACCCCCACATGATCCTATATCCATCACCAATCGTATACACATCGAATTGTGCTAATTTACTACAAAGTTACGCAAAGCAGCATCTACTATCTAAAATATGTACTGCGTGACTCTTAATACGTCCCTGCAGAATGTTACAGCGTTCGGTGATCACGTGGTCTTGTTTATGTCCGGTCTATCTCTTATCTGAATATACTGTATATTGGTGATCGATGTATCAGAATGTCCCTGTTCCTTTGACTCCGGTAACCACATGCATAACCTCAAAATTTCTCACCTGTGTTTGTGTAGCAGGTTTCAGCACCCTATTATTGTTCCTGTTATTATCCGTGGGCATAACGGTCGTTCTCCCCAAAGGTGCTGCCGTTCTTTTCAACATGTTGTTGTTGCAGTTTTGATTGACTATCTCCAAAGGCGTGTTCAGATCCGCTACTTTGTTCTGCCTGTTGCTTTGCGTCTGTCTGTAATCGAGAATATGATTTATTACCGAGAAAATTGGAGGTTTGATTAATTGACGAGAATAATGACCTTTGTCCGTTTGTTTCGTATATGCACTTGGAAGATTTAATAAGACTGTTTGATTATGCCGGTAGTATCACAGAATATATTATTGATATTGCTTCAAGGAAAAGTTGAAAGTTCAAAATGTCAAGCAAAAAATAAACTCCACGACTTTTCAGGATTTTTCAATAGTTATATTCGGGCACTTCAAACTAGTCTAATATACAAAGTTTTGTCATGTCATACGAGGGTGGTCCCAGAAGTACCAGACCCAACGAAGAAAACAAAAACTTTGTAAAAACATGTATTTATTATATACCCTTTTTATAATAAGAAGTAATGTAAGTAATGTAATTCTAGTCTATTGAGTTTCGTTGGGTGTACGCTACCGTATAGTGCTCCTGTGAAATCATCAGTTTTTAGTGGTAAATACTCATCTAAACGATCTGAAACTTACATTATATTGTTGGGGAAGAGAAATGCTATTTATCAGAATGCTTGCCTGGTTCGTCATAAGTGCATGTCAGCTTCTGAGATTGATCAAATTGTCTTCTTACAATTGCTGAGCTGATCATATGTAAAAACTGGTCCAGCCAGCGTGAAAATGATCATTCTTTGGCTTCTTGAAATTCCATAACGTTGTAAGGACAGTGGCGGAGCCATAGCTAGTTTTGATCATGGAATCTTTAAAATGTAAAAAGTCGGATAGTTGTTCCTATTTATCCTGTGATAGCTGCAAGAGACCTATTCATTCAGAATGTTCCGAACTCAATGGATCTGAGCTAAAGGTGATGGCCTTAAAAGGCAAACGACTACTCAAGTTTTATTGTGACGATTGTCTTTTGGGAATTAGGCTGGTTCCAAAATTAAATCAAAAAGTTGATAATTTGATAAAGGAACTGGAGAAGCTGAAAAAGGAATCTCCTCCTCCTGCACAGTCTTCATCACCAATGGAGTATGAGGAGGTTCTTCAAGAAATTGAAGAGCGGAACCGTAGGAAACAGAATATTATTATTTTTGGACTTACTGAAGATCAAAGTAGGACAAAGCAGGAACAGATAGCTCATGATACTCAAGAGGTTAAAAGTATATTGCAGTCCCTTTCTACAGAAATTGATACCAATGTCAGACTATTCAGGCTGGGAAAGTTTGATCCCACAAAGGATAGGCCTAGGCTGGTAAAGGTTTCTCTGCGGAACAATCAAGATGTCCTGTTATGCATTAAAAAAAAATTAAAAAAAATGTTACCTTGTTTTATATCCTCCCGACAAGTATTTCAGTGCGGACCTGTATTTGATCGTGCGGTCTTGGAGCACCGGCATGCCCTCCCCTGTGAGGTCTTAAGTCACCTGATTCACGAGCCCTTTGTACTACATTAACAAAGGCACGAGGGGTTGGTTGCACTCGATTAAATAAGAATCATGTCCACAAATTCACAAGTTCAGTATTTTCGTAAACATGTGCCATTTTGTATTTCGTTTGAGCCACGCAACAAACACCACTATTCTCTCACGCGTTACCGACTGAAACATTAACTGACATCGTGATAAACGTTTCAAATTCTTTCGCTTTTTTGTTTCCGATGCGATGAACCGATAAGGCGGATTATATCCGTTGTTGCCAAACACGAGCACATAATATTATTATTGAGACAGGGCGGTACTCAAACTTCTAAAGGGCTATAACTTTGTTAATTTAATTTTACCAGAAAAATGTTAAAGGAAAAAAACATTTCTTTTGATCAGATCTGCTCACTGTTAAAATAAATGACTCAACTTCGAAGTCACCCTGTATATGCAACAATTATAATTCCATAGCAGACAGCTCTGACATTAATTTTGATTGTATCAGTAAGATCGTGTCGAATTTCAGGTACTATTATAACAGCTAGTTCTATTTTTTAAATTAGTTTTAGGTATACATTACATGTATGAATTATAAGTAAAGTTACCATGATATTGTCCTTTAATTGGAATAGTTCTGTTGGGAAATAATGTATAAATAAATAAATAAATAAATAAATAAATAAAAGAACTGTCTTGCTCCTCAAAATAGCCATTAACTGAGCCATTTTTTCCAGTTTGGAAACAGAAAATAATCCGAGGGGGCTAAATCTGGCATGAGGTAGCAACTCAAACTTTAATTCGTTAATTCTGGCCATTGCAATAACGGATTTGTGAGCTGGTGCATTGTCGTGATGAAACAACAGTTTCTTCTTAACCAAATGCGGCCGTTTTTGCTTGATTTCATCGCTCAAACAATGCAATAAGTTCGCATAATACTCGCCGTTGATAGTTTTGCCTTTTTCAAGATAGTCAATGAAAATTATCCCACGCGCATCCCAAAAAAACCGACGCCATAACCTTGCCTGCAGATGAAACGGTCTTCGCCTTCTTTGGAGCCGGTTGTCGCTTTTGAGTCCATTGTTTTGATTGTTCTTTTTGGGTAGATTCCGATTCAATTTGATGATAAGACTGACAAAGCGTCCCAGGTGGCCTAGTTTCTGTCCTGAATTTACCTCAGCATTTTTGTTCAATCTCACCGGTACGTATACAGAGTTTCATTAACTTATTATTACATAGAGAAACCTTTAAAAATATAGGAAATGGGATGGACAAATTTCCAGGAATCTCTGCGAATCTATGTTCTGAACGTAAGCTTGTCTCAAACATGTTTCATGGATTAGTCAGGTGCATCGATTCCGAATATTATGATGTGAATTTAGGACTAAAGCCTACGGGCCTCAGACTACTTAATTTTCTTCTTATTCGTATCAATTTACCAAATTAGACTCTATAGTACTTCAGCATCTTCGACCACTATACAAGTTTCCGCAATATTACTATTTCCAATATTGAAGTTAGTGCATATCTTATGCATCTTACCTGAATCCGAACCTGGCTCCTTTAGCCCCAAGCGCATCCTTTTTGGGCGGTACCAGCCTGGGCGTGGTCCTGCCAGGTTGTAACGCCCCCGTAGCCAATGGCTCCGTCTCATCGTCGTTCCCATTCCCGTCCTGCCGATGCGCGGTGGCCAATCGGCGAGCGGCAACAGCGCTACCGCCGCCCGTCGCCCCGCCCCTTCTAAAGCCGAACGACGTAGCCACTCCTCTCGTTACGCATGTAGTGCGTTTGACTCCGCCTACAACGGCGCTTAGCACACCGCCTCCGCGGCGATGCTGGTGGTGGGGTGGGCCACCGGTGGTGGGGGAAGACGGGTGTTTGTTATTCTCGTCGTCCGGACTCTGGAACAATGGAATGGAAAAGAAGTTTTATAGAAGATAATTCAGAATGGTCATGAGAATAATAATAGCTCTTTATAAGGGAAAGTTTGGCCATAGGCTATTGTTTCACTTAACCCTTTTAAAACAGTAAAATTTACATATAGAACGTGTCTGGTGGTAACTTTCAGTGTAACAATTATAATAGAGGTCCAGTAATAGCAAGCATACAGTTAAAACTTTTTAAAAGACAGTTGTTATTCACACAAACTGCTAAAATAAGGAGTGTTCATAATAAAATACATTAACGATATAAAATACATCAATAAATGATATACCACAAAATAGTATTAATTTATGCCAGCATTTACATGGGCCAATATATAAATCTTAACTTCTGGTTTATTGTTATTAAATGACGATGACACAGCTATCTGGCAGAGAGTTATACAACTTATCGGCATTGTATGTAAAACTATTCCGAAAGAAACCACTCCTGTGGTGTGGCATTGTTAAGGTGCTATTCTATCTTAAATTTCGGGAATGTATATATCCGCACGCAATGAGTTTCTCCCTCAAAAATGGGGGCACAGATCTATCTAAAAGTTTTTGAGTATATGTGAGCATGTTGAAAGCATATAATTGTCTCATATTCAGCCATCCTATTTCTGAGAAAGCAGCACTGATATGGTCGAACTTTCTGCGTCAATCTACAGTATGTGTTTTGGATTTTTTTAGATTTTTCTTACGGTTTCAGAGTCGAAGAAATCTAAATATACTGAAAGGCAGTATGTGAGCTTAGATATCACCAAAGACTCGCACAATATTCTATTGACTTCAAAATTAAGTAGCTATTTACTTGCTTTCAACAATCTGAGAATTGCATAGCAACTTTTGCTGAGGTTATTAACATAGTGAATAAGTTTCAGATTCACATAAAAAAATATGCCTAAATTTCTTGGTGATTGCCACAATTGGTATGTCCCGACCATTTAAAGATATTATCAGTTTTTTTCACTTCACCCCTTATTTTTTGGGAGCAAAAACCACCACAATAGATTTAGCAAGATTAGGCTGAAAATTGTATTGTCTAGCATAACTGTCTATGGATTTTAAATCTTCATTGAGTTCCTGTTGAGCTATCATCAGCAAATCATTGCAATGCTTCAAGATCGGAAATGTAAAAGAAAAACAGGAGTGCCCCCGGTATAGACCCCTGAGGTACACCAGATTGATATTGTGTTTTCATATTTATATCATAAAAAGTCTTGTCACTCATTTCGGTCGGTCTTTCTGTCTGTCCGAGCAGGAAAAAGCTAAAAGGGGAAATATTAAAATAGGCCAAACTTCGTTTTTTGGCGTTTCAGGTAGCTCCTGATCCTTTTCAGAAAAAATATAGAGGTTAAAATTCGAGGGTTGGGCGTTGTAGGAGATGGGGGCGGGTAAATGAAACTTTTTTGATCTTAGTATATTTATACGTTCCCAACTTCGGTAACTCCATGCACCTATAAGCCATATTTCACACATCATAGATTTCCCCGTATATTTGCCTTCAAAACTTAGAGAGGAATTTTCACTCCTGCGATCTAAGCTCACCGCCCGGCGCACCAGTTCAACTGACTAATCTATCCGTAATGCAGCGCACAAAACATATACACGGGATGAACGATAACTCGTTGCAGTGGTGCCGCGGTAGGCGCTGCCGCGCAGATGTGGGAAGGAACAACGTTGCCAGATGGACAGTCAATACCGGTAGGGCAGGGGAAGAACATCTGCGGACTAATTGTATAGGGCTGGACAAATTTCCAGGAATCTCTGCGAATCTATGTTCTGAACGTAAGCTTGTCTCAAACATGTTTCATGGATTAGTCAGGTGCATCGATTCCGAATATTATGATGTGAATTTAGGACTAAAGCCTACTGGCCTCAGACTACTTAATTTTATTCTTATTCGTATCAATTTGGCGCTGGAACAAACTATTGTTCATTTTCTATCCCAAATTAGACTCTATAGTACTTCAGCATCTTCGACCACTATACAAGTTTCCGCAATATTACTACAGGGTGTCCGCAAAGTTGGGGTTTTCCTTTTCAGAAACAACTACCCTTGAAATAATAAAGGTAATGTGTAGTGAAACGAGGGCGACCAAGTAAAAAAAATAAAGGAAAAAGTACTCACTCTCCAGTTGACGAGAAGGGCTAAGTACGTCTCTGTCCGAAATCATACCGCTCCAACAGAAAATGAAATCAGCTGATGCGCTACCGAGTAGACGCAGAAACCACATTGATTGTCTTACACTTAATGGCACATCTTCTAACAAGGAAGGCAAAATGTTGCGTAAAAATGCGATCTAAGTTCACCGCCCGGCGCACCAGTTCAACTGACTAATCTATCCGTAATGCAGCGCACAAAACATATACACGGGATGAACGATAACTCACTGCAGTGGTGCCGCGTTAGGCGCTGCCGCGCAGATGTGGGAAGGAACAACGTTGCCAGATGGACAGTCAATACCGGTAGGGCAGGGGAAGAACATCTGCGGACTAATTGTATGGGCCTGTTTCACTGACTTTTCTCAGAGGGTCTATTTTGTGCTGAACATAATCCTTCATGAACTGATGACGGCGTTGCGCAGGACGTGCAGAGTTAACCTAATTGACGCCATTTTTTACTAAAATTAATGAACTAAAAAGTAAGTCAGTCGATATCTTAAATCATCAAAGAACAAAAACAATGCCAAATGCAAATCAAATACGTGTTGAGTAAACGAAAATGAATAGAAGTCTTAGTTGTGTGTTAAGCTATGTGAATGCACCTTGTTTCATTATTTGAACAACGTATACGGTATACTCGGAATATTTCAATTGTTTGTGAAGTCATAAAAATATAACCAGCAATAAAATGGCCCTATCACACGCACACATACGTTTTCATACCGGTTTCGGTTCCTGATATTCATACAAGGTGGGATAAAAGATGTGGCTGAATGTAAATTAACTGCCATTTTCGTGTAGAGAATGAGCTCTACTCTGGAATGGGTTTAATAATACCCGAAAAATTGATGAAATCACTCAATTTCTACAGAAATATGGGGTTGTCCAAAACGGACGCAGGAAAGTAAACGCATATTAAAACAAGAAAGATTGATATTCAAATTAAGTTGGTACTTTATTTTGAAGGTTCATTTATACCATTTATGTATGAAAAATAATATCGCTCAAATGTTCACCACGACTGGATTTACAGACGTCCACGCGATGGTCGAAATTTTCAATGACATTTTGCAACATGGTCGGTTCTATGGCATTTATCTCGGCAATGATGTTGTTTTTGAGTTCTTGGAGGGTGGCTGGTTTGTTGACGTAGACTTTGCTTTTCAAATATCCCCATAAAAAGAAGTCCAAGGGAGTCAAATCGCACGATCTTGGTGGCCATGGTACATTTCCTCTGCGCGAAATCACGCGATCACCGAAGAAGGACTGCAATCGATGGATATTGACGTTGGTTGTGTGGCATGTTGCACCGTCTTGTTGGAAATAAACATCGTCCATATCCATTCCTTCAAGTTGCGGCAAAAAATAGTCCTCTATCATCACGTGATATCGCTCAGAATTGACGGCAACGGCGTCCCCGGCCGCATTTTCGAAAAAGTAAGGTCCGATGATGCCTTTTGACCACAATGCACACCACACAGTCACTTTTTGAGGATACATCGGCTGCTCTTCATACTCACGGGGATTTTCGTTCACCCAGACGCGGCAGTTTTGCTTGTTTACCGTCCCATTCAAAGTGAAATGCGCTTCGTCGCTGAACATGATTTTTGATGAAAAATTGGCATTAATTTGGCGGTGTTCAAGGAGCCAATCTAAGAACGTTCGCCGCGAAAAATGGTCGGCCCGACGCAGCTCTTGCGTCAATTGGAGCTTGTAGGCGTGTACATTCAAATCCTTGTGTAGAATGCGGAGAAAACTGGTTCTGGAAATGCCCAATTCTTGCGATCGACGCGTTGTTGATTGTTTCGGATCGTCTCTCACACTCTCCTTCACAACAGCAATATTTTCCGGTGTGCGAACGCTCCTTGGCCGACCAGAGCCTGGCAGATTGGCCACAGAACCTGTTGCCTCGAATTTACGCACCAGACGACCGATGGTTGTTCCGTTTGGGCGGTTGTTGCGACCGAAATGTTCACGAAGCGCGCGAAACGTGTTTTTTATTTTTGCACCATTTTTGTAGTGCTCTTGAATAACTTTAATGCGGTCTTCAATCGAATACGACTCCATAGCGATCAATGGTACACATTCAACTAACAAAATGACATGTCGGTGACAGAAAACAAAGATGGCGTCTATGTCAAATTGACGTTTACTTGCCTGCGTCCCTATTGGACAACCCTTTATTTGTCGAACGAATCATCACATCGCAACTTGGGCGTCATTTTTGAGTTCCTCGGACAATTTTACTTCGGAAGAATAATACGCAGATACCTATTATGGTATTTAATGCTTTCCATGGATAAGAGTAGCGATTAAATGGAAAAGTTGCCAAGAAGGATAAAACCGTTCAACCTAGAAATCTGCGATTTTACAAAATCTCTTGCTTCCTTAGTTACTCTTAAGCTCAGGAGAAGAATTGAGCCTGATCTGAGACATGACCCGCTCTCCAGTAACAGGAAAATGGCCAATTTCGGTCAAAAATGTCGTATTGGATCCAAAGGCCTATTCGATCAATGTAAAGGTCTGAGTACAAAATTCAATTTACATAGAGTGAGAGATTGGTCATTATTATTTACGAGAAAAAAAGATTTTGTCAGCCCAATAAAACAGTGATTAATTTCTAAAATAACACAATTTTTATTGAAATATCTGGCCAATCAATTATCAGATCACAATTTAAAGGTAATTTGCCAATATGTTACACCAGAAAATTTTCGCACAAGCTGTTACAATAGGTTAGGTTACAGTCAAACCCAAAAAGGAGGTCTATTCTAAACATTCAATTTTATATTTTGTTTTCATTCTGATTA